CTTTTCTTGCCCGAAACCGAATTCACAGTGCCATCATCACGTTTAATCGCTCTTGGCGATGCTACTACTCATTCCTCACTCCGCCTTCATCTAAGCCGACTAAACTTATCATCCGGTTGCTCCCATTCACGGTAACAAAACATTGCGTCATTCACCGGCTTCATTCTTCCTACCCACTCATCCATCATTCATCACCCATCATTCCGCTATCTTTTCTGACGTATGTCATGCAATCAAGTCTGGTATTTCTTGTCCATAAACATGCAGCATGCACAATATTGCATTTATGTACACGCAAAAGATATCAACAGTCTGAAAGTTGTTGAGGAAAGAAGATTGTTTGCTTACACAAATGTTTCATCATATGAAAGTTGTTGTTTAGCAATTGTGAATGGCGAAAGGAGTGGAAATAAAGTGGGTGGTACTAGCTTAGAAGGCCAATTTACTCTTAATCTTTGTCTGTGAAATTTTTGGCAATGGATCAGTTTTTTTTTTTTTTTTTAGAAGTATTCTTGTTCCTTGAAAAATGAATTAATATATCTCTATATGTCTCAGAAGCCAGAATAGTTTATCCATAATTTACTGATCAACAGATGACTACTGACCAATGCGTTAGTTATATGCCATTAACATGCTAAAGGTCCATGTCTAGATGCTAAATACTAATTTACACTTCTTGCCAATGCTATAATCAATAAATATCATCACGGAATGATTTGCTTCTTCCAGCCAGGTGAATTGCTTGCATGAAATCTTTATCTTATATGTAAATTTTAATAGTTTTAGCCACTGATTGATAACAACTGTTTTCACTGATCAGCAATTTGCATGAAGCAATAAATGATTGCTGCATGCAGTACAAATGTTTGTGTTGTATTGAGAAGGTTGAATGCTGCAGTATGAATTTATTGAATAGTATAGATTAAAGGTACAGGTAAATGTAACATAAGGAATGAATGCATCAATAGAGATTTAGTTGAAGAGATTAGAGAGAGGAGAAGTCATTTAAATTTCAAAAAGTTATTATATCTTTTTTATCGGATGATCTTCTTGGGAAAGCAATAATTCTTCAAATTTTAATCATCCCTGACTGACAAACAATATCAGAATATCATTCTTCGGATTATTCACGTCCATTAGCAACATTTTTTTTTCAAGTTACAAATGACCTGAGTGACAAATTTCAGATTGCAATCTTTTACATTGAATTTGCTTCAACTTTTCATGCACCGTTCTGTTAAACAGTAAATGATGCAAAAAAATAAGCACCTCAGAAAATTTTGCCTCATCTCAAGAATTCCTCTTCTCTTTCCGCACTCCGTCCAAATCAGACACATCAACGATTATGTATCAATTTGTCCTCTTTTCGCCACCCATGCAAGTTTGCGATATTTTCTCCTGAACAGTGCAAAATGTTTAGTAATACAGCAACTGCAGTACCACTGCAGATACTGAAAACCACCCATTCCTATTCGAACCGGATCTTTAAATTTAGTTTATTGTAAGAAAAAAAATAATGACTTCAATTTGTCTACCATAAAAAAATTATATTTCTCCTCAGTATGCTCTTAAACATCTGATAATTTTCCCAAAAAACATAAAAGCAGGATCAACAGCAAACGATAAATCCTTCTTGTTTTCTTTCTTATATATTTTATCAAAAGTAAAGTAAGAATGACAGAATTTTTTTTTAGTTCATCTATCTTCATTTAACGAAATTAAGAATTTAACGAATCTCGGCTTAGGTAATATTTCGAACAGCTATTGGATCACAACAACTATAATATGTTTTAGTTAGCATATTCTTTTTCATCATAACTATTATTATTACAATCATGCATATGAGTAAAAGCAATAATATATAAGGTAAGATGTACGACAGTGATTCGAGAATAAACTTTAGACATGCAATCGATAAGCCTTTATGTATATATGAAGCAATGATATGAAGTGCAAAGCAATTCAAATGTGACGGAAAATTTTTATGTAAATGAATATTTGAAAAATTTAATCGGTGCTGTCTGAATTGTTCAATTCATAGATTTTCCCTTTAAAGAATTGTTATTTCTATTATCCACAAAATAAAATGATATAGTGGCAACTAATTCTGCAGATTTCCTGTACTTTTTTTTCCACTTCATTCATTTACAATATTTGGAGGATGAGTAGTTCAAACTTTTTTATTAATATAGAAACTTTTTTTTTTGTTTAAAAAAAAGTTTTTTTTTCGAATGGTTTATATGCGAATGATTTATGATCTTGCAAATATTTTTGTCTATGGATCTTTGGGAGTAGATGGAAAGTCTAGACTTGAAACATGTACTTTATATTGACGACGCTCACCTTCCTATTACTTATTACTTTCCCAATGTTTTTTTGATCGAATTTTTCAAAAATTTAATTCGATATGATTATTTCATTGAATCCTGGTTTTATGTATAAACACTTTTACACATACTTGATTATCACTTTTAATTTTGATTAAACTCCAGCTCTTCACAATAGTTGATGCATATTTAAAAGATTACATCATTTTAGGTTTAATACTTTATAGAATTTTTTAAATAAAATTCTTTGCTCATATCATTTGGAATAGTAAACTCATCCAGAAATAGTTACCTTAATGAGTTATTCAAAGCCAAATCCAAATAGCTAAATAGCTAATGCGCGCAACTTTAGCTGAAGTAAAGTGAACTGTTACTTATGCTTAATTAGTGGTGCCATAAGGCGTATGATAGATTATCGTACAAATATTAGTCATTTATCGTCTTATGTTTATAAACTTTTGCCTTCAACTTACTTGCTACGCTAAATTATAGATTAAAATTAAATTAGTCAAATCTGATACAAAATACTTACAATGAAGCACTTTTACAGCCGCCAATAAATTAATCAATTTCTTTGTTATCCATTTCCAAAAAATTGAATGCGGCTAAACTGTTTTAATAATTAATACATTTTTAACAGATCATATTTCCTTCAAAACAAGCTAATTTAGCTCAACTATTCGTCAATTCTCGATTTTTTTTTTAAATTATGATTTTGGTTTTAAAATTATGATTTTGGTAGTTATTCCGCACGTTTGAGTTCAATATGGAAACCGCATTGTTGTGTATCGGTCAGTTAGGAGACATTTGTACACTTTCGACATGAAATGGCATGTCATAATAAGCTGTGAAAAGACCTGATTTCTATGTTGAAATGATGACTACAATTTCTTATTTAAATTCCCGTATTCACATAAGGCATCTGGTAGAAGGGTGATAGAGGGATGATTCATTGATTTGGTATGACGCATATATTTAAGGCAGGTAATAGGCGCTTCAAGCCAGACATACCAATGATGGAGAGCCGATCTGTTCTATTAAAAACAATGACAATGTTGGGATGTCTTTTGAGCGGCTACCGCTTTCGTTTTCCAGGCAATTCAATGCTCACACTCTTTGGAGAAAGGGCGACAGCATCGGTGTAGGTGTCTCCTTCCGGGTGTCTCCTTCTGCACTGCCATGATGTTTACTCATTCCTATCTTTTCGCCTCTCCTCCTTCCACAGCACCTGTTCAGACATCCCTCTAACCATCCTCAACAATTTCGTCATTTCCGTTTTCTCCTTCCCTCCCCACCTATTAAACTATTTGTGGGTGGGCGGCCGACCGGACAAGGTAGGATTTGTTATGTCTGGGAGGGGGTCAGCCGCTCCTTCTTTTTCTGAAGGGTCGTCAAGTCGCCTTCGTCACAGTTGCTGTCTGCGGTCGTTGCTCGACTCCGACGTACCTGTCGCTCCTCCTCTCACTTCGCCTGTTCCCTGTTTTTTATGAGTTCATTGTGGAAGGTGTGCCTGTCCGTTCATTATATTTCTGTCTATCTACCTTCTGTCTGTACCAGTTGATGGAAAATTCTTCTTGCTGCCACCTCTCTGATGATGTTTGTCCGCTACGAATCATTCCGCAGTTCTGTCGCCTGGTCTCCGGTGCTCCGCGGATACCATCTTAACCATCACATCTCCTTCCTTCATTGACCTCTTCGCTATCATACAGTAATTCACTTCATACATCTTCCTGTCCAATATTTATTGGCATCATTCTAAACAACGCGCAATCCCAATATCTAATAGCCCACAAACAAAAATAAGGCTCTCAGTACCGTATACTACGAGAATTACAGTTCCCAAAGGATGCATTTTGTTGAGAGTATATTGGTACGATAAACGCTAGGTGATAGGATCATTCTATTCTTATCGTATCAATCTATTTTAAAGTGCATCCTAATTATTCTTATATCTCTCCCTGTGTATTATTCTGTTCAGCTAGTTTGTATGCTTGATTGAGGATGAATTCGCTTAGGCTTTTCCTTTTGCTGTGACAGCAGCGTCAATCACAAAAATGGAAATCTCAAGTGAATATCAATAGATGGATGGACTGGTTTGACTTAGTTGAAAGACTAAGTTTGTCTTGGACATCAAAATATAACATAAACTTTCAAATATCCAACTATTTCTCATAGAATCAAGAAATATTTTTTTCATAGAAATTAGGGCAAAATGTGAATAAAAACAAGTCTGTAAATTCCGAAGAAACGGTAAAAACAAGGAGAAATGAATTGATTGCAAGTTAGTTTAGAGATGACATATTCATTCATAAACAAACTAATTAAGAGCTGCACTTTGACGATCTCTTCGAAGAGGGCGCAAAAGGGACTCTCCTTTGGGAGGCAGACGAATGATTGAGTTGAACCAGTGGAGCACTTCGTCTTTTTCATTTCTGTTTTAAAGTGCACTGACTAACATAAAAGGACAAAACTCCATTTTGCTTTTCGAAATTTTCGACAGTCTGGGAGGGCCTATAAATGATTGTTATTCCCGGTATTTCTCATTCTTATAACTTCCTTTAACCGATTTTTTCATGAAGCCTTGTGATCATCGTCAGATCAAATCATCACAGCTATCGGTACTCTGTTAATCATTATGATGATTATTGCAGTACTATTGCTAATTAATCTGCAATGGCATTATTAGCATCAACGTTATCCAAAATATTTATACTTGTCCTATTGTGCTCTACCAATCTGCTACAGACGAAGTCTTTGAGCCGGAATACGGTAGTGGATGATGACGAATTGGATGTGTCCGATTTGATTGATAGTTTCCTGGAGCGTGCAAAACAGAACACTCGACATCACAGGACACATCATCGGTAGGCTAGCAAGGTTTTTCTCATTCTCTTTTGTCACCGTCTCTCTCTCTCTCTCCCTTCATCTCCCTCTCCCGCGGCTTAACAAAAGTCCCGTTTTTCATCCTCCCAGAATTGATGTCTTCGTTCATACCGTACTTTCAAATACAACAACTCATTCTTTTGACAGTCAAATCATGATGGAAACCTTACTTCAAATTTAAATTCAGGACATTTATAAAGAGAGCCTTATCTTTGAAACTTCAGGTCGGATTTGCTTGATCAAATTTCCAGGATGAGGGGAGGAAGGAACCTTGTTTTCATAGTTCGCTACCTATTATCGTCAAAGTGATTGCATGCGCTCACAATTGTAAAACATTTGAAGACTGCTACGTCGACATCGCATACAATCGTCCATTCAACAGCTTACAAGCTTCGATGTTCACGGACGAGAATATGTGAAATGCCGAAAAAGTTTGCTCGATGGAGGCTCTGTGGTTTGTCTTCCTCATTTTCATCCATACAAAAGCAACCGATCATTCCCCATTTTCTTACCTATGACATCTTATATTAAATGAAATTCAGAGAAAAGTACAAAATTTATTATTTGTTAAATTGCAGATGAAACGATGTTACCGACCACCATCTGATGACATGCGCGTTGGATGCTATGCGGTTTGGAATATGAAAAGTGAAACACTCGTGCAGGATTGTTGGGTGCAACAAGCGGTAAGCTTATTTTTATTTTTCTGTTCCGCGAGAATGCTAATCTCATCGAAAGCATAAATTCAAAAACTAATCATTTCTAAATAAATGACACATACAGGTCAAGCAAACAATAGACTGAAAGAAAGAGGAGAAAAGAGAGAAAAATCCGATACTTCAGTTCGAAAAAAAAATGAATTAACAGACTGCTTTGTTATCGAATTTTAAAACTCTATAGAAAGAAATAGGCATTAGTTTTTGGAACTAATATGTTAGCTTTAAATTTGAAATTAATAAGAATATATGGACAAGAGAAGAACTGAATTGCTTCAACTAATCTTACTAAATGACTGTTGTCAGATATCGATGAATAACTGCGAGCAGCGTAAATGTATTGCTGACAGGAGTACATTTTGTTGTTGCTACGGACATAACTGCAACAGTCGGTTTGAATTACAAGAAGAAATTTCGGATGAAAATTCGTGAAATTTTACTTTGTACAGCCAAAGACTGTTTCCTTGTTTTATAATATATGTAGTATGATTTTATGACAAACATATTTCAAAGCTTATATTCAATATAACTCAAAAAAAAAAACACCAAATCACTTCATTGAAAATGCAAACATTCAGAAGATGAGATCTAGTTGTAATTAAGATTATTAGTTGAAGTTAAGAAAATTTTTCGATGGATTTTTTTTTTGAATT